TTCTGAAATTTTTCAATTTTACCTCCGCCCTCCCCCTTTTTTTGCAAAATAAAATCCGAACTATAAGGAACTTAAAAAAGCCCTAGTTGCGTTTGTATATCTTTTATTTGCAAATCAAGCGGTATATGTCTCATTGATGTAGCTTCAAAACTCTAGGAGATAAGTTTCCAGTGACAATAAGTGTGAATGTTCAGTAGAGCCCGACAAAGTACCGGGCGCCTCGAAATTGACATTCAAGACTGCAAGGAATGCAACTAGACGATACTGGAGCTCAATTTCTGTCCAGGATGGTGTGAGCGATGGTGCGGGAACGACCCCATTTGACTGCCGCAAGATTACCGTAAAATGGGGTAACTTAGACCGGCGGGGTAACTTAGACCACTTTTCGTTTTTTTAACAAAAACCCCCACAACTCAAAAACTATTTGACATAGAAAAATTTTGTCAATGGGCATTAAAGGCCTAATACTGAGGCTACATAACACAATAGAAAGATTTGAAAAGTTTGCATATCTAATAGGTTAAAAAATTAAAAATGTGACCCACGAAAAAAAGCTATTATTTAAAGCCTGTCAGAGTACCCCCTCCAATTTTTTTATTTTTTGGTTAAATAACTCCAGGTTTTGATGCATTGTAGTAGAACTCTTCTAGTTACATATGCAAATGACAAATTTTAGGAAAGTGTCATAGTTTGCAAATGGGGGGCGCCGCCCCCAAATGGGGTAACTTAGACCACCTAATGTCAGCCCTGACGGGGTAACATAGACCGGCTTGGAAGTTAATATAAAATTACCATATATAACATATTTTATGTTTGACAGCCTATTTATGTTTTTTCTTTATGTTTCAGACTCTACAGAGTCTTATATATGGTAATTTTAACTTAATTTCCAAGCCAGTCAATATTACCCCATCAGGGCTGCCATTAGGTAGTCACATTTCCCTCATTATGGGGCGGCGCCCCCCATTTGCAAACTATGACACTTTCCTCAAGTTTGTCATTTGCATATGTAACTAGAAGAGTTCTACTACAATGCACCAAAACCTGGAGTTATTTGGAGTTATTTTACCAAAAAATATAATTGATTTTACCACCCGGTCTAAGTTACCCCAAGAGCTGGGGTAACAAAGACCATCACTTTTTTTGAAATTACATAAAGACTATGAGAGGCAGGAGCCAGCAATTTATGGTGAGTGAAGCTAGAGTATAGACCTGTATTTTGCATGTTTCAATTCAAGTTTAATTTAGCTAGTAAAAAAATGGCATCATTTATAAAAAAAAGTGGTCTAAGTTACCCCATTTTACGGTACCTGAAATTAACGGACTAGCTTAATTCAACATGCTTAAGCCAATGAAAATCAAAAAATCTTGTATATGGTTGTAAGCCTAAATAAAGCCTTAAATCAACGAATCAACGATCCTTAAATTTAATTCCTTAACATGACATTTTGAAAAAAAGTTGTCAAAGTTACCCCATTTTGTGGTACAGAGATGGTTTTGGTACTGTTGGATAGGTCAGAGTGTCAGCTTTAAGATGAGACTTTTAGAATTAAAATCTACAAAATCACTGAATTCCAACACTGTGTGACTAAATGCGGCATATTGTGAGACTAATTCCAACAGCGCTTCAAAAGCGTAATTCCTAATTCCGACACCCTGTGTAGGAATTCTGACAACCTGTGTAGGAATTCTGACACCCTGTGTAGGAATTCCAATACTCTGTGTGAGCTGTGTTGGAATACAACACCCTGTGCACTGCTGTGTCAAAATTCCAACACCCTGTCAGAATTAGTTTCTATGTGTCTAAAATCATCTCTTAAATTAATCATCTATTAATTTATTTACCACTTAAAATCAGCAAATACAGGTATACCGTACTTAAAGGATTCCTAATATATTCACAGATTTAAATAAAAGTCTCAAACCATGATTTTCTACACAAACAGTTTATCACTATTTTGTAAAGCAATGTCAACTATCAACTAAATAGATTTTTTACACGTTAATATTATTTCGTAATGGTGCTACTGCCGGTTATGATAGTATTTTTACAAATACTCGTTACAATATATTTATGTCATGTTAGCATTACGACTGATTGTTATTAGCATACGGCGTGAAATGATATTACTGTATGGTGCTTAGGCTTATCTAAAGCTCGTCGGCTGCTTAGAGTGATCTTGCTCATTTAGCATCTAGGGCACCTGTGCTCTGATCCAGCTACTCTTATTTTTTAAATGATGTGTTTTATTGTGGTCAGACTAAGCTAATATAAATAAAGGAAGGTTTCAAGCGGGTCGGTAAGCTGTAAATTAAGGTCCTCCATTGAGAATGCACCTGCTAAATGGTTTTGCTGTAAAATGAATCATGGAGTGTATGATGTTAAAATGCCGTGTGATTACAGAGGTAATCACACGTTTATATAACCATTCGCTCTTTGGTAGCTAACACTTCATATAATTTATATTTTCTGTGATATCTTTCTTCTCCTTCGATTGTGTATTTGTTGGACGATTTTGTTCAGTATTTGAGCCTTTATTTGATCTGTTTTCTGGGCCTGTTTCGTGCAATTCTAAATAAATTTGATCTCACCATAAAGATCGTAGGTCAATAATTTAAATTTATTTTTCGTGACTGAAGACAGTTTAGAACATTAATGTTTACTCACTAAGAATTTAGTTCCATCTTATCTCGTCAGTGATACGAATTTTAGAATCATGGAATTTTTGATGGATTATGCATATATTATTTAGTTCTGGGAACAATATTACGCAGATTACCTCGCCTGTCTTCATCTCTGTACCTAGTACCAATATTTCGTGATGAAAGATAATTTTTGTTTTGATATTTTCGGATAATGTTTTGAAATTCGGAAATTTATCATTTGTCATCATGAAAATATGAACCAACCTAACAGTGAAAGATTATGTAGGCAACCCATTATTAGGTTTATTTCTGAAAGTCTGAAATCAAATCGAAGAACGCAAAATACTAGAATTATTAGAAGTGTTACAATTTAATAAGTAAAAAAATCGTTTTCGGTCACCATAAGTTTCTTATTTTTGATTAATTAGTTTTGCGGTTACAATTTATGGAAAGAACATTTAAAAATACACGAAGTAAAAGGTTTATCTTATATCTGAAGCCTTTGGGTTTAAAATAAGACCAATTAATTGTCTCAATAAATAGAAAATTTACCAATTAAAATCATTACAAGTTACTACACAATAAGATCGATTTTTCACTCCTACCTTTTTCACTAGCATTACGACTGATTGCTGTTAGCATAGGGTGTGAAATGATATTACTGTACGGTGCATAGGCTTATCTAAGCTTACAGCAAAACTAAAAAAAACTGCGTTGGAACACATCCATGCGGCAACATTTCTTCTCGCTTCGAGTCACCGACATGTGGAACAGCCTCCCTGATAGCATCGTTGACGCTCCGAGTATGAACGCCTTCAAAAACAGACTAGACGAAGCTATGCAGGAGCACATGTTCAGTCTTAAAATGCCTAGCAAATTACGGACCAGGCAATAAGTCCAGCAGCTATCTCAATCAATCGTCAGTTATGAGAAGATCGGGTTCCAAAGGCCGGATTCCTTGTGAATCAAGTCACGAAAAGTTCAAGAATCGGCAACAGACCATGGGCCTATTTCTTCAATGCCGACACTTCTATTGTATTCTATATTCAGGCCTTCCGTACCTCAAAATTTATGTCAGAAGAAAATCTCTTGAAAGTTGACAGCCGTTTGATTTTATAACGACACTCGTAGATTAAACGATCTGTTTATCTATCATTGTTCATTAACTTGTTCCTGGCAATTGCGTCCTTCATGCATGATCTCTCACATCGTGACTTTATATGAAGATCGTAGAAAAAGGCAGATATTCTGCGCTGTTTCCTCGTGCCATAGTAAATTCGATATTATTCAACATTAACTCTAAGGCGCCTCAAGGATAAGGACGTGCTCAATGCAGTCAACACCTGCAACACTCATGCATCCCGACACCAGCAGACAACTGTTATGGGAAGTGCGGACTAGTGGAGCAGATGATTGTTCTATGGCGTCGCGTCTTGTATGAGAAAATCATATGCTGAAAGATATCCCCCGTCAGGCGTTATTTAAATTTTATTGTGTTTTTAATATATCTTGTGCGCACTAACTATGCTTGTCTTAACATTGTAACAATGAGAGAACAGTATAAAACTTAATGTAGCATTAAATTTTGCAAATCAGGTGTATAGGCCTATAGTTGGTAGGATTGCGGGAAATATGGCGCGAGCGTCGAAAACTCGAACGCTTCCAGTATCATAAGTTTTGTCGTCATTGTGCAGTGGGCTCGAGAAAAACAATATGATAAAAGCATAAGAAATGAATATCTGAGGGTAAACATAACCGTATAAATTCATGATAAAACGTTTTAGGGTGTTGAAATCTGGGTGCATTGCTCGCGTTAATGGCAGTACCGGTGGCTTGCCTATAGCCAAAGCTCACTCTGAACTCTGCTTCAAAAAGCAAACAAACGTACTTCTTATCTTAGCACAAAACGATGGAAAGTATTTTCTGTTAGCGATCTTATTAATAATTAGGATCCAGAACCTAAATAATGTGGTACAGCGAATTTCAAGTTCATAATTACATAAAATTCTACCCGTACACTAACAGATTAAAATTGATAGGCCTAATTCTTTATCAGTTTGGGAAAATTCGCCAATCGCAGCTAATAATAAGTAGATTGTACTCCAAAATCCTAAAAAATCCCTTTGATATGGCTTAACTATTTCACTGATGTACATAATACAAAACTCTCAATAGGATTGATGTTGATGGTTAAAATATCCAGTTGCTTCAACCATACAATCACTCACTTCGACAGGTCTCACCTCATTGGATAAATAATGAGAAAATGGCAGATAACGAATTTAATGCGTCTTCAATCGCCATAAATAGTTAAAAGAGGACACATACAAGTCACGAAAAGTTCAAGAATCGGCAACAGGCCATGGGCCTATTTCTTCAACGCCGACACTTCTATTCTACTACATTACTGAAGTCGAATTTATGGTCAAGTGGATGGCAACTAACACTACTGCCCGGTGTCCGCAGGGCTCGCTCTGTGGCAGACCCCGACCTCAAATTCTGTGTCTTGTGCGAGTTCGTCTCGGATCTGCTGAATTGGCTTCAAGAGGACGATAGGTTCTCGATCGTCACGGCCCTAGGAATGAAACTTTTTAGATCGGTTTTCCCATGTTTTTACATTTGATGTTTTTAAAATTATCATACACGACGGACATTTTTAATCGCTCATACATGATCTACCTGAATATATTCATACATAAGAAGATCTAAATAAAGTAGGACATGGTTAAAGGCTTCCATTTTGATTTCTCTAGTGGCTATGTGGTCTTTTGACTACGAATAATATCGAATTAAAGGTCTCAAAGCCAGGTCAATAGATTACTGCCAGACTTGATGTAGGCAAACAAATATCATATTTAACTTACTTGGAAAAGAACCTCGCCTTCAAAGGTCACAAAGCCGTGCTTTCTGGCACGCAGCAGAATTCCCACAACTTTGCTTGAAATTCTTGTGTAAATCTGGCGTGAAAAAATTTAGCAATAGAGTTAATTATCGTTGGCAGGTTGATTTAGTTCTCATTATGCTGCTTGTCACGTACTTTGAACAATATTAGCGTGGCACATCTATGGAAATTCATTAAGTTGCTTTACTATTGATAATTCTGTCACAGATATGGTTAAAACATTTTCGAGGTTTCCTCTCTGAAGGGAACTTTTCTGCCCTCATGTGATGCGTTTACATAAAAATTTGATATATTCGATCTCTCTAAGCGATGTTTTACGACGACAATTTGAAGTTTAAACTGATCCTCTTCACAATTTTTTTCTCATATAACACTTGGTCTCTGAAGTTTGTATATGAAAAAAGTAAAACTATCCAATTGCCGTTACTGTGGGTGCACCTGATAATCTTTTCTCATATAACACTTGGCCTCTAAAGTTTGTATATGGAAAATGTAAAACTATCCAATTGCAGTTACTGTTAGTGCACCTGAAACAGTTCACCAAAATTGATAGCTGCTGTGTCGTCCTCGTAGCGTTCGCCCTCCTGGTAGATCATGTCGCACAACACCATTAAAAAACCTGAGATTTAATTTGATTTCGGCATAATGTATGTAGGTTTAATAAAGTGTAGGTTATTCATAATGTAGGTTTAATAAAATAATTCATTGATTCTATTACATCTGGATCTTTCATCTGACCTGCCATAGTTCGGATCTTTTTTATCAAGGGATGGAAGTTTGCCGATTTTGAAGCTGCCGCTGAATGGATTGGATTCCATCTTGTGTTGGTGAGCAGCAGCGCGTTGAGCAAACATGTCCCTGCGTTCCGACAGGCTCGAGGACACCCGGACCGATGCCTGTGCAATATTGCATTTTTAATTAATTTTCAACTTTGTTCATTGTTTGCAGAGGTGGGCAGTACCTGGTAGTGCGCTATATGTAGCGCAGTAGCCAGTAGCGGTAGCGGCGCTACATTTAAGCAATTGTAGCGGTAGCAGTAGCGCCTACTACATTTAGAGCATGTAGCGGTAGCGGCCGCTACATTTTCAGTAGCGGCAGCGGCGCTACATTTAAGCAATTGTAGCGGTAGCAGTAGCGCCTACTACATTTAGAGCATGTAGCGGTAGCGGCCGCTACATTGCAAAGTAGCGCTGCCCAGCTCTGATTGTTTGATACATCTGATTTAATGTTATCAGCGTTTTTGCACGATATTCATTCAATTTGGCTATAGTTTTATCGTCATAAATTGAATGTATGAGATACGCAATGGGACAAAATAAATTGCCAAATTAAACATCCTGAAAAGCAGGACTTAACTTTTCACCAACATGACAGCACCTTCGTCTGTGAAATTTATTGACTGAAAAGAAAAACTATAATAAAAATAAATCAAAATATTTTATCGTCGGTATGCATTGTATTTTTTTACTCCTGATTAATGACGCTCCAAATTTATTATTCAGTATTAATAAGTCATATTCATTTTAACAGAAATATTCGACTGACAGCCTTCATTTATCTACAAAGTTGAAATAAATATTTAACATGTAAGTAATTTTTTAATTCTGTTTATGGGGCACATTTTCAATAATCTTTGCGCATGAGCACCAAAGTCAACCTCCCTTGAGGTTGAGAAATCATTTGAACACTTTTTAGATCTAAATTATTACCTGAATGGAGCGATACAAAAAAAAATGAGCTAATCTCGACTCCAGGACCAAGAGTACACCCAAACTTGACATCTCCTCTAAACTTACCGCTCCGTCTGCCATTCCGCCGCGTGAATCAAAATTGTCTTGAAGAAGATCTGTCGTAAAGCGAGTACAAATTGATAATCAATATAACCTCTCAATAAGCATCGCTAATGCTTAAGTACTTGCATTAAAAATATGTAACCGGAACATTACTAGTAATTTTATTGAATTTTTCAGAAAATTTGCATTCTCTTTACAATAAAATAAAAATCACATATTTGAGAAAGTGGAAACGATATTCGGGCGAGTTTATTTTGCTTGATAGCGTCGCATCTCCTGTAGCAAACTTTGCGATGTTGAATCAACAAAAGAAAAGTCACTAAAACTATTCGAAATGAAATTGCAACGAAACTCAAAATATTAACTGAAATGACTGATCAGTTGCAGCTCATCTCTGAAGAACTTAAGAGGTTAGAGTAAAATCTGAAACTCTTATATATTAATAGGAATGCTTCCAGGTCTGTACAAAGAAAGGATTGAATGAAACATTCATGTAACATGTAAAATAAATGTTATTCGAAAGGTGATTACAGATAACCTCTTAATGAACCACGGCAAATTATTTTTGCACGTTCTTTGGGCTAACTTCATAACTACTTGATACAGGAAAATTGTGCTCGAGATTCTAGCTATTAAGTTTCAGAATTACTATATTTTCAGTGGTGTCGATCGAACTTATTTTTAGGACAATTTTTTCCTGCAATGCTGCTGCTTCAAACCATCACGAACACAGATTTTGTGTTTTTAAGAACAATAATTACAATTTTAATCTACCTGTATGATAAACATTCTGTTCAAAACAATGACATTGCAAATCGTTCGTTTGATTATAATTTCTCAGCTGTCGATCAAAATAACAATAATATCTTAGCATTTAGTTCATTTTGTTGTTTAACTTGCCCGCACTTAGCGTCATCCAAGAGAATAATTACAACTTTTCACCGGTATGCAACACAACGCAATGCACTATGCAAACGTTAGGTGCGCATAACGCTAGACGCAGCTCTCGACTGACGAGCGTCAGCTGCGCTCGACACAAATAGCTCGCAAGCGCCATCACTCGACCTGCTTGTGCGATTCTGCATACGTTACCGCCAGAGAAATGCTACATGACTCAACGCTTTTCTGAGGGAAAAGTGCAATTAGAATATTTTTAACAACTTTTTGTACACTCAACTAAAAAAATAAGACGTATATAGAGCTGTCCCGTTCGATAAATAATATAGAAATAAACAATGCTGAATCAATATGTAACTATTATTTTTAGTTATTAATCGTATACTGAACTATGAATGATCCTGTAACAAGAGTGTGGTTATGCGCGAAGCTAGACTGTGGAGCTGAAGCAAATAATGAGAATGCAGAGCATCTTCGTGCGATTCCATATCAGCTATAACATGAAACGTATCACCAGACGAAGAAAAACCACTTGTCGCTGTTGGACGAATCTCAATGGGTGAGTAACGTCCAGTGTCAGGAAGCATATATGTGGCCGTGTGAGATCCAACATTAGATATGGAGGGCTCGACGGCTGTCCCATTATCGGTTATGCCAGGGGCAATACAAACTGCATTGCTATCACAAGCTTCATATGAGCCACCAGGTTGCACGTGATCAAAAGCCGCAGGAAAGTTTACCCCATAGCAGTTGCAGGCCAACATATGTTGCTCGGTGGCTGCGACTTCCGAAACGTCATTAAGGCCAAGATGGGAGAAATGTCCAGGAGGAAACTGGGACGCCTCACCAGTCGTCAGGAATTCATGATTAGCGGCGTCGTGAGATTTTAAACTATTGACTGTTGTTCCAACAGATGGAATTTGTGTAACGGGTCCTAAGTCTTGGGTATCTTCAGGAATGCTTCCAAGCTGAAAGTTCTGTCTTCTTGCTTTTTCATGCTCACTTGAATAATGGAATGTGTCGCAGGGCACAGTGGCAGTGCCGAGTTTTAAGTCTACAGATGTTTCCATATGGCCATGGCCACGAAGAGCCCCAACCGTTGCTGAAGAAGATGAGGAGTCGGATAGAATTCTTGCATATTGGTGCGTAGGACTCTTGGTAGTGGAGCTGCTAGCGCTCTCTCTTTCGATTTTAGACACATCAGTTGTCGACTCGTGGTCAGTCATAACTTCCCAAATCACACTCTCTGTAACAACAGAATGTTTGTTACGATTACATTCAATTAAGAGTTTTTGAGTTGACTGACTCATTTTGTAGCATATTAAAAAATATTTATTATCAGTTTAATTTGGCCAACTGAAACTATTGAACCTGTGATATTCATGAACACCTAGACTAAATTTGACGTCACGAATGTCTGATATAAAAAAATAATTCAAACGAATTTAATGTGTTTAGATGTACAAGTGATAAGGAACAATAGTGATAGATTTCGATGAGTTCGAGGTTTCAATCCTACTTTACATGAAGGGTTTTGACAACATGCAGACTAAATCGAGTAAAAAGAATAACAGAATTTCAAGATCTCAATTGTCAGAAAAAAAAACGAATTTTCAAGTTTTCAACTGTGTAATGAGATATACCAGAGGCGTCACTGGTATACGGTATATCTTATTCGTCACTGGTATACCAGGGGCGTTCACACATAAGGAATGAAGGGGCTAAACCCCTAGCCCAATTAGATGTAAAGGGCACAAGCGAACGTTGAATTTTACTAACAGCTTGCATCTTTTGTACAGTACAACGACAAACGCAACATGTTTACAGAATTATCAACATATTCAGAACAATTATATCCAATTCATCAGAATTTTTGGTAGAAAAAATTATAAATAAACTTGAAATTATGTAGGGATGTTTACGAATATTTTTCGAGTGCTTGAGTGCTTCCAAAAATAAACATAATGACAGTATATTATTACATTGAGGTACAATATTACTTTTAAAAATGCCTAAATAAATGGCAACACCTACTCATTAGAAGTTGCAACTACGTCTCGGACAAATTTACGGCCGGACACTCAGTAAAAATATGTTCTCGCTTTTGTTAATACGGTATATGAACTCATTTATAACAAAGTTCAAAAATAACAAGTGTTTGTTAGAATAGAGCAATCAGTTTTAAATAAAATGGTAGCAACATGTTACGATAGAAGCAGAAAGTTTTATCGGAACATGTAAATAGCATTACTAATTCCCGAAACAAGTCAGAGCGAAATTTAGAAAAAAATTACATCTATCGTGCCTAAATATATACTTATTAGTGTTGTTGGGTTCAATTTTCTTAGATATTGTTAGTTATAATTCAATTTTAATCTCTCTACAAAATATTATTAAAAAGTTTTAACTCTGGCATCAACTGCTGAACATTGCCGACTGTGAGTGGCTCTCGGTCGTCGGTTCGTGTGTTGCTATTCGCACTCGAGTGATTCCAGGCAAAATGAATAGATTAGCTCTCTGCAAGGTGAGTAATTAGCACCGAGTTGAATTCATGTGCAGCTTATATTGGTAATTGGCTTTACATAACATTTAGGCTTCATTGATGACATATGTGTTTTCAAGTAAAATTTCAACTCAAGTTGGGACTTGGGTTGTGAATAAATTCTATTCGTCGCTTCCATGTTAAGCGAGGGCGCGAGGCTAATAATGAATGGTCAAATCAATGATGGACAGACAGGACAGTAGTAGTACATTTAGGTACAGTCAATGAAGTGATAAGGGACAGGCAGGGTAAATCGGACAGACATGCCACATTTCGTAGAAATGTTGTACAGTTGTAGGCGGCAGTAGGCCTAGCAGCTTAACTAATCAAAATAGGTATTGTAAAACTAAAAATAGTGCTGTAAAGTTCAACTTTTTTACCAGGTAGCCTATCTACTACCTATCTAGCCTACTATGTACCTAGCATAAAGCAAGTTAAGAAAATCATACATTTAGCCTACTTCTAAAAAATCCCTGAAAAAAAGTGTGAAAAGTGAGATTTTGGAAGAGTACCTCTGCTAAAGTCTGTAGGGACAGTAGGGTAGGGTAAACGCCGAAACGGGGTATATTCCGACATCGTGGGTAATTCTGACACCGTAACTTTTTCCTTTATACTATTAAGCTTTGTCTTAGCTCCACGCATTTGTTGATGGTTGAAATATTGACGTCATACTATTGTGCGCCATACTATTGCCAAAACACTAGGTAGGTCTGACCCACTGTGCAGAGAGTGGATGAATATTGCAATTGCAAGATCTTTGGCGATGCTTCAGTAGCAAAATTTATGCCTTCAGAAGATCTTGCCGACACATTTAGATTGAATCGTTGAAATTCTTTCATTTAATATATATGTCAGTCTTTGGCCAACTAGGGTAAACGCGGTATATTCCGTCACATTAAGGACGCATCAAGAAATGAAAAACTATAAAAAAATAACCGTATGCGTTACTCAAGTTCTGTTTGCTTTATTTGACTTGCAAAACACCGTACTACGCGCCAGCAACAATGAAACGTCACAAAATGTTGCCAGATTTATTTAAAAGCCTTTAGAATGGAAACCTACCAATCGGCGGCAAATCCCTATATTCCGTCACTGTGTGGCAATATTCAGCACGTGGTGAGGCGTATTACGTCCAAATTCTACTGATACGTAATGCCGTCATCCACGTGTTCGAATTCTGTTTGCTGTGTGAGCTGTATTGGAATACAACACGGCTTTGAATTAGAACACTAATGAATATTGAACACTACTTAATTACGCTTTTAATCAACAACTAGGGTAAACGCGGTATATTCCGACA